TTGTATTTTTTGGTTATCTTTTTGCTTTCTTTACTATCCAACGTCATGTGGAAGGGGTTTGTATTTTTTGTGGGGTGGGGAGTTATCTTCTTGCTTTGTTTACTATCCAACAACACATGAAAGGGTTTGGGGTTATATCCTCGCTTTGTGTAATGTTATTCCTGGTTATCTCACTGTTTTATCATTTCTAGGTTTTGCAGCAGTGTTCGGATGGACGCTGGAAAGGTATCATATTCCAGAAGAATCACACATCTCAGTCAGGATACTTCCCAGCTACAGCTGTTCAGCTTTTAGACAGACCAGGTAGGTTGACAAACTACACCTTTATCTTCTCATAATGTTGGAATACTGTTTAAACGTCACAACTACAGTTACTTTATAGTGTCTTCATATAACTTGAAAATTACTACATTTTTTTTTAACTTGAAGACTACTATAATAAAGCTGTAAGTGTAAGGTTAAAGAAGTATCTTTATTAAAGGAAGGTTGCTACGCTATCTTTGTAACTTGAAGGGTACAATAGTCACTTTGTAACTGTGAGATTAATACAGTACGCCAGTAAGTTGTTCCATGCTGTAAATTTTGAGTTTGTCCTTTCAACGAAGTACGAGAGATGAATCTGCGGACTTACAACGCTAGAATCCGGGTTTCAATACCCGCGGTGAGCAGAGCACAGATAGCCCGTTGTGTAGCTTTGTGCTTAATTACAAACAAACGAGAGATAAGAGAGGTACCGTACATACGAGAAAATTAGCAACAAAGTGGATTCTCTGATGAAGCGTTATTAATTCGTGAAGTAACAAAGTGTAATATCTATTGAAGCGTTATTAATTCGTGAAGTAACAAAGTGGAATCTCTGTTGAAGCGTTATTAATTCGTGAAGTAACAAAGTGGATTCTCTATTGAGGCGTTATTAATTCGTGAAGTAACAAAGTGTTTAATAACGCTCAATAGAGATTTTCGTGAAGTAACAAAATGGAATCTCTATTGAGGCGTTATTTATTCGTGAAGTGACAAAGTGAAATCTCTATTGAGGTGTTATTAATTCGTGAAGTTGGGTCTATCATAAGTTACGTGAAACTTGTAAACATTGAATTTGTAGAACTTGTAGTCCAAGAACTAAAATGGGATAGACTTTGCAATATATTTTTTACCGAAAAAAAAAAACCGCTTTACAATACAAACTGTTAAAACAAGATTGTGTGATTTTCTAGATGAAAGGTATTCATGATTTATATTACAAACTTGATATAAGTTTAGGTTACTAGATGAAGGGTACTCATGATTTATATCATAAACTTGATATAAGTTTAGGTTACTAGATGAAGGGTATTCATGATTTATATTACAAACTTGATATAAGTTTAGGTTACTAGATGAAGGGTATTCATGATTTATATTACAAACTTGATATAAGTTTAGGTTACTAGATGAAGGGTACATAAACTTGATGTAAGTTTATACTTCCTTACTGGATGAAAGGTACTTCTGATTTATATCATAAACTTGATGTAAGTTTATACTTCCGTACTAGATGAAAGGTACTTCTGATTTATATCATAAACTTGATGTAAGTTTATACTTCCTTACAGGATGTAAGGTACTCCGTTTTGCTTTACAACTTCCTAATAGGGAGAAAATTTATTCGGTTTGATGCTACATAGTTTTAAATTTGTACTGCACCTCGTGTGAGCTAAATAGTTTGCCAGTAAGGTTAGTATGTGTAGTGAGTAAAGTAGCCATCTGATACTGATTATATTCAGTTTTGGTGGATTTTATTTAAACCTTTATGTATCAAAACTTATTAGCATTCAGTAAATCTCTGCAATATTTTTGAGATAAAATATTAAACACTGTGATTTACATAGTGAGTTAACTTTAGCTACAGCCTTGGTAGTTTTATTTTGGTTTTGTTATTAATATTGCTTTATTTTAATGTAGTTTTGTGTTGGTTGATATTTGTAAAACACACAATCGTGTTGAGTTTAATAAGTAGAGTTCTACAATACTAAGCTGCCTGAATTCCAAGGGGGATGTTTATTTTAGGGGGTGATTTTTTGTGACAGCTGGTATTATTTCCTTCTTGGTTAATCTACGACGTGCTACTATCATGTAGATAATTAACCATGGTAACTCCACGTTTACTGGCTAACCTTCGACAGCTGGACTTTACTGTTGGAAAGATTACTTACTGTACTACGCACGTGCATGCGTGACCAAACAGAAACTTTACATGAAGTCCCCCCCCCCCCCCGCACCTTGCAAGTACGGTATTGTGATTAGATCAGCACGTGATCTGAGTGAAATGAACAGCGTGTCGTGGTACTTCTTCTGGCGGGGTTAAGGAAAGATTCTCAACTAGTGCCACCTGGATGCGCCACTTGAACAAAGAAACCGTGATCGACAACCCCTTGTAGTAGAGAAGGAACACTTTCTATTTCCACAGTTGTAGTTTGCCGGCTGGTTTGTTAGCTACATCGTGTGACTGTACTGGTTGGTAGTAGTCAAAGATAATACATTATTCTTTGCGCTTCACTCAAAATCGTCGTCTATCGTAATCCAAAAAATCCACCAGAAGTCGTGGGTTGATTATTCGAAATAATCTGGTTATAAATACATTAAAATGTGTTTTACTGGAATTTGATTTTTTTTCTGTTACCGTGAGGACGACACAACATATTGACTTATCTAATAAGGTCGACACAACGACTTATCGACCTAAGGTCGACACAACGACTTATCGACCTAAGGTCAAAAGTCGGTGTTTCGACCTTATTAGATAAGTCGTTGTGTTGACCTTAGGTCGATAAGTCGTTGTGTCCTAATATTAAGACAAACTATTTATATCCTGAAACTTTAGTGTAAACAAGATAAATAAAAAAATTGGGAATTAAAAAACACCTAAAAATAGGGATCGTAAGGAAACAATGCTAGAGATACTGTAGACATTATTTACTCAAACTACAAATCCCTATTTTGACTCAACCAAATGTAATTCTAGGTAACAGCGGACTTACAACGCTAGAAACCGGGTTTCGATACCCGTGGTGGGCAGAGCACAGATAGCCCATTGTGTAGCTTTGTGCGTACATTCAAACAAACAATGAATGAATATTTGCTGTAAAATTCATATCAGTGCTATCAGTACAACTACCAGTTTGGCCGCCAATTTTGATTTTCTTCCTTTGAGTCGCACGCTCAATCCTTTTTTTTTTGCCACACCTTTTTTTTCACATCTAAGGTGTTTTTGATTAGATTGATATCAGCCATCGCTACATTTACTTCCTTTTTTTAAAAAAAGGTTTTTCTTTACTTGTAATATTTTGTATGAACTTAATTCTGGTGTAGAAGGTATTACATGTTGACAAAATCCCTGTTTGGAGACTAATTCAAGCACCATCATTGTGCATGTCATAAATTTCTGCAAGTCAGTACACAGATTTGGGGACTTTGTAGTTGGAGATCGACTACCTTAGTTAATATCAAAGAAGGTTCTGAAGCGATTGTAATATAGGATTGATGTATTTATGGATTGTATTGCTAATGTCCTACACCTCTTGTGGTGATTTACAAAACTTTGCTCCGAATGTGCAAAAATTCCAAATATTTTTGATGACGCAAACATGATATAAAATACAAAGAGTAATCTGTTAGCGGACTTTAATATACCAGTCACTTACATATATTGCATAGAATTAATTTATTTGGTTCGAAATTATCACAAAGCTACACAACGGCTAGCTGCCCCTAATTTTAAACTGACAGACTGGAGGAAAGGCAGCTGTTCAATAACACCCACCGTCCATTCTGTCTGACCAAATAATGGGATTTCGCTGTCACATTTATAGTGAACCCACATCCTTAGAGTGCGGAGTGCATTTTTTGTTGTTGCGGCAACCGGATGCGAACCACGAATCCTCGGTGTTACCGTCCGGGCACGTTAACCACTAGGTCACGCCGTGCATAAATATTTACTTTGGTAACGAGCACTAGAAGAGCGCTATATGGATCTCCAATCTCCGTATTTATGAATACCTGCTCGTAATGTAATGTGACTTGCATGTTGTGTTCTCGTTACCTGTAGGGTTTTGTTAATCAGATACGTATTTGCTTTTTTTATGTCTGTTGTTATCATTATTTACTGTGTTTGTCTGTGCTCAGCGTTCCCTGGTAGAAAAATCATAAAAATTGTAGCATTTGTAAAATATATTATGACTCATGCATATGTAAATAAAACAAAACCGCATTTTCCATATTCGTAGCTAACATGGTAGCCCCCTCTAGTTGCCCGATAACAAACCTTAAAAAAGTATACTTTTGTCAGAACTGGTTTCGTATAATTTATGCGACTATTTTAGAGAGAAAGATAGAAAATAGAAGCTTTTTAATGTACACACGAAGTAAAGCAACTGTATTCCTCTGTACTATTATTGTTCTGGTACCTTAAGTGGCATGGCAACGTAGCTGCTTAGCGACCGAGTATGAATAAATGGGTAGCATACTGTTCTCATTTATCCGAGATGTAGATAAAAAAGGAGTTTTCCATTATGGCTTCTCCGATATATGTATAGTATGGGAAAGTGAGCTGAAAAAACAACCAACAACAACACAATGTTTATATTAATATTTATTACCTTTGTATGAAATATTTTTGCTCAGTACGAAACTACACGAGTCTAGCTCTCAAACTTATCATAAGACGAGCGTCGCCGGTCCAGTGATATATAATATCTCAGCACAAGTACGTGCATCTTAACCATTTCTCTCCTTAAAGGGATATATATATCCTGTTGTTTTTCATTGGAATGATCCACCAAGTTCACTTAACCTTGACTCGCCAGATCTGGTTACTTCACTGTAGCAACTTCGGTTATATTCTGATTTTGTGGCACTCGACTTTTGTACAGTAGATGTCAGAGGGCGGCTTCTTTCTTTCACAGTGAAATTAAATAATCCGTTCTTTCTATCTCTTGTGAGTTTTTTTTTTTTGTCTGTTTTAGTGCGTTAGCGGCAGGGTTAAAGAGTAAAAGTCAGGTATATTACAAAGAGCACAATAATAAACAAACAATGCTCGTGGAGAAATATGAAATAGATATCCTGCCGTCATTTAACATGGAACAAGGAATTTTTGTGTTTACACCCAAGGGCGCGGAAACTATTGGTGCTGAGGGTGTAGCAGCACCTCCTGGCTGGCTGGCTGCATTGAGAGGGTGGAATAAAGCGCATGCGTGGCTCCCATCATGTACAGGAGTTTCGATTTTATTCGACAGTTTTTCAGCATCTCCACCAGAAAATTTGTAAATTGTTCTAACGTCAATGTTAGCACCTAACTGAAAGTGTGTATATACATATACTTTCACAATTTTTGTTTTTCTCAACTGGTACTTTTTTGTGTTTCAAATCAAGTTAAAGCTGGCGGCCTTTGGCCAAGTTGTAGGATAGGAACCTCAAAATTCGATATGTAATGTGGAAAATCTCACCCAGAGCAACTCAAGATATTCCAAACGAAACACTGACTGCCATTTTAATGTTTTATGACCATAAACACTGTAAAGAAAGGTTTGGTTAGGGTCGTGAGGTACTGCCTAATCACCCCACCTACAAGACAAAGGTTTCGCGGTCGGTAGGAACGACCTCTTTTTTTTTACCCTCCCTTCCCTCCTCTACTCCTGCGCCAAGAAGACTGGCCTCAGTTGTCACCGCAGGTACGCTTTGTGTACGTATACTCCCAAGAAAAAAAAAGACAGAAAGCAAGAGAGATGAAAGTTCATAGGAAATATATGTAGGTTGTTAGGTGGCTGGGGACTGTCAGCTCGTAAACAGGATGTCGACGATATATTTTGTTTTGTTGAAGGTTGAAACTGACCGTTTCCTTTATGGTAATCATAGGTTTAGCACGCCTGTATTATATAACATAGACTGTAAAACCTGTGTTTTATTAATCTTTACACTGTTGTTTGCCCATCAAGAATTAAGGGACTTTTAAGTGCAGAAGCTTCGTCACGAAATACCCAAAAAGTAAATTTTTCCACCAGGGGGAGGGGGTATGGTTGAGATAGCCATAACTTAAGTTAGCAGCGTTTGAGGCCCGGGTTGCAGATTATTTTCCTACAGCCACAAATCGAAAGTGGTATACGAATACGGGCGCGTCTGGACTAGTATACTGCTAGCTACTGACCGTTGTAAACTCGCCCACAGGAAACGTTAGGCTTCGTACAGGTTAAAATGTGGATGTAAAAAAAAAACACGTCTTCTTATGGAGAATTTATTACAACTGTGAACTGGGCAACGGAAACACAACACTGCGATAAAAAGAACGATCATAATTGGTTGGACAGATTTCGTGACTCGCAATCTTCCAGCCTCGTCATCATTAGCGACCATACGTTCACAACAAGCCCATTTATATAGGAATTATTTCGAAAACAACGAACTTGCGTTCGGTTTCCTATCTCTGCTCCCACGGAATGGATTGGAAAAACGATAGGACGACAATAATATGCACCGTAAACTGCTTGGTAAGTGATTATTTGTGTAACAGTTTTAGCGCGTGTGAGTTGAGCAAAATGTGATTGTAAAAGAAACACACAAAAACATTTCGTGAAAAATACATTTGGAAATATAAGACAATAATCGGAGGAATAAACTACTGTTCGTTGCGTGTTTCATAGGCCAACGCTATCTCTGAGAAGGCTGATAACACCTATATGCGTTTTGTGTAATTTTGCGTTTTAAATTCGCGTATTATACAAAACAAAAAAAGATTTATTGTTTATGTCGTATGAGCTTTTGTGTTGTCTTTATACCTATATGAACACATAGCAAAAACATAGGAAGGTCATATTTTTAGGGGAGTAGGATCCATGATAAAAGCATCTACAACTGTGATATTTAGCCGTAGGGGCGTTATGATGTGACGGTCAATCCCACTATTCGTTGGTAAAAGAGTAGCCCAAGAGTTGACGGTGGGTGGTGATGACTAGCTGCCTTCCCTCTAGACTTACACTGCTAAATTAGGGACGGATAGCGCAGTTAGCCCTCGTGTAGCTTTGCGCGAAATTCAAAACAAACAAACAAACAAGTGTTAATTCCTATGCGAGGTATATGTTAATAAACGTAATGTCAATGTGCATTTCTCTGTGTGTATGTATACGGACTGTGGTCAAATGAATCTATTCTTGATTCAGTACATTAGCTATTATGGAGATCTCGTTTCTTATCTTTCAGTTTGAAGCAGAAGTTTATGTGTTTCGAAAATTCGCGCACAGAGGGATGGAAGCTAGTCAACAACACTCCCCTCCAATATTTAGGCCACTCTAATCGAAACGTGAAATTTAACCGTCACTGTGATAAACGCACCCATGCCTCCAAAGTAACAAGTACATTTTTGCGGTTATGTATCACGACCGTGCCTCCTCGGATTTACCGCTAGCGCAGGCTAACCACTAGGCCACGCCCTACCCTTCAATGCAAGCGGTAAGAAACGTAGTTCGGGAAACAAATTTATAGTAACACCATAAGAGGCTTTAACGAACGATTGTTCTGAATTAACGAACCTCTTAATAACTCTCGCCACCTTATAATCATTTACATACCAACTCTCTCTCTTTGTTCACTCACGTTTTTTTATGTATATTTATTTTCACTTACGTTTTTAGGTTTTCAGGAAAACTAAAAACTATTGGAAAACTATGGCAGTTAAAATAATGATACTCGATCATGTCTCTCCACTGTTACCTTTAGTTTTAAGTTTAATTACCGTATACTTGATCAATCTCTTTATATATAGTTATCTTTAGTTGTAAGTTTGGTTACCATATACTCGATCAATCTCTCTATATATAGTTATCTTTAGTTTTAAGTATGGTTACCATATACTCGATCAATCTCTATATATAGTTATATTTACTTTTAAGTTTGGTTACCATATTCTCGATCAATCTCTTCATATAGTTATCTTTAGTTTTAAGTTTGGTTACCATATACTCGATCAATCTCTCCATATAGTTATCTTTAGTTTTAAGTATGGTTACCATATACTCGATCAATCTCTATATATAGTTATATTTACTTTTAAGTTTGGTTACCATATTCTCGATCAATCTCTTCATATAGTTATCTTTAGTTTTAAGTTTGGTTACCATATACTCGATCAATCTCTCCATATAGTTATCTTTAGTTTTAAGTATGGTTACCATGTTCTCGATCAATCTCTCCATATAGTTATCTTTAGTTGTAAGTTTGATTACCATATACTTGATCAATCTCTTTATATATAGTTATCTTTAGTTTTAAGTTTGGTTACCATATACTTGATCAATCTCTTTATATATAGTTATCTTTAGTTTTAAGTTTGGTTACCATATACTCGATCAATCTCTT